CCAACCACATACAGGCACGCACTCAGACCCAACACAACCCACTCAACAGGCAGGGGACTTAGTACGGCATGCATTCCACGAGCAAACTCAGAAATCAGCTGTCTGTTACAGTCCGTGTGATGACGGGTCATTACAATGGAGAAAAATAAATTAAACAAGATTTGCCTGAGCATTACATCCGAATTCCTTACCAAATTTGAAATAAAAATAAAATACGGAAAACAAATACTAATAATAAAAATAAATAAAAATAAAAAGAGAATTAAATTTCGTGAGTGCGTGAGCATGTTTTCGACACCGCCACCTTTGGCGATTTTTCATTTTTTTTTTGGCATAGCTAAATGCCCTGAAAATTTACAGATGCGTAGTTCACATGATAAAAAACCCACTAAAAAAGTTTCAAAAAATAATAAAATTGTTTAGACCCCGAACTAAAGTGAAAACAAAAAGTTAAAAGTGAAAAAATACATGGGCGAGCACGTTTTGACACCGCCATCGTTGGCGATTTTTAATTCTTATCTGGCTTAGCCAAATGACGTGAAAATTTACATGCATGTACCTCACGTGAAAATTTAGGCCCCACTATTCAGGGCATGTAAATTTAATTCTTATCTGGCTTAGCCAAATGACGTGAAAGTATAACATAGGGCGTTCGGTTCACACCCCATCATATACAGGGTAACCGGCGTTCAGGACAGGCCAAAATGAAAGAAGAACGGTCACCACAAAAGAGCATGCATTCAGTATAGCGCCCATGACCGCAAAATGGACATATATGTATATATATATATATAGCCTCCTGATGAGTCGGTGAAACTCCGACGAAACAGTTTGTCACAGCCCCTCGTTTGTTGTCCTCTTCTCTCTCTCTGCCTACGGTTTACCGGGCAGTTCTGTTTGTGACGATATATATATTTGACGATATATATATAAACAGTTTGTCACAGCCCCTCGTTTGTTGTCCTCTTCTCTCTCTCTGCCTACGGTTTACCGGGCAGTTCTATTTGTGACGATATATATATATATATATGATATATGATATATATATATATATATATATACCTCTTCGCTCTCTCTCTGCCTACGGTTTACCGGGCAGTTCTGTTTTTGACGATAGATATGTATATATATATATATATATATATATATATATATTCTATATTCTATATACGTATATATCGTCAAACAGATACGATATATACATCTTCACTCCACACTCTGTACTTTCCCTTTATCATTCTTTGTTTGTCTGCTCTCCATCTCTCCTCCCTGTGTTTATCTGCTCCCCCTTCACTCTGCCTCTTTCTCACAGCGTACAAGTGGGGCATTATGGTACACGGGGATGGGGGCAGCTCGCGCTCAACTTCTTCAACGTGGCGAGCCTCGTATGTGAGACGCACGAATGAGAAATATGAATGGTTTCAGTGGAGAGGTGGTTGACGGAGGCCCTAATTTTCAGACAACTTGTCATGCCATTTATAACAAAATCCAAGGTTCATTTTAACCAAACTTGCCACCAAGTCATAGAGTAGAGACCATAGTTACTAACTTTTATTTTTTTATTTTTGCTGTTTCTTTCGCAAAGTGCGCTCTTTTAGTTCATAGTTATATGACAATATATATTGTATTTTTATTTTATTTTTTTGGTCTGGCAGGGCTAGTAGTCCCGGGGCACTCTTGTAGCCTCTTCTTTGTGTCATAATACCACACTACTATTAGACTACTAGTAATGTAATATGATTGCAAATTGCCAAAATTTGAAATTTGCAATTTTTTTTTTTTTTTTTTTTT